TTGGTCCTGACGGACTCCAACGTGTGTTTATTAATCAACCAAATAAATAAACACAAGGATAATTATGTGTTATTGTTGAGTAAATGGAGAATTGCACAGGGGAAAATAACGTATATGCCACAATTTTAGATGCAAATTTTGTTAAACTAATACGTTTGCGCTGTGGACCAACACTATACATTGACGGGGAAGGGGGTAGCAATAAAGATAACACCATTAAATAGTTACACAACATAACATAAATAATATCGATAGCAGCATCCCTAGCAACCACCTTGGTGACAATGAAAACGTTGTATAGACACAATTTCCTGAAGTAATATTCGTAATAACTAGCAAACTAAAGATCATGTGCATCCACTGCACACATAATCTGAAATAACAACTCATATGTCTCGCATCAAATGACATCAAAACGCATTTTAATGGCCAAACTAACTTTAAAATAGGCATTTTACACCGAGAATAAAACGAAGTTCGGCCATGTTTTTTTTTCTGCAGGGAGAAATTTGAAGATCACGTGACATAGACACCAGCAATTGGAATGAATAGTGAAAAAAAAACGTAGGGATCTTACAATTTCAGAGACGTTTTTGTAGAAATACTACGGCCTACGTTGTGGACCAACGTAGTTATTACACGTTTTTTTGTGAGACTGGGTTGGAATATCAGTATGAGAAAAATGACACCCTCTATCCTTAGACCCTCACATCGTACAAGGAAAGACTTCCAGAGAAAACCCACAGTTTAAGGGGAAAAAATGGGAGAAACCTCAGGGAGAGCAACAGAGGAGGGATCCCTCTCCCAGGACGGACAGACGTGCAATAGATGCCGTGTGTAAATCGAAGAGATAATACATTTTTCAAGTATGACAGTACACTTGTCCCAGATACGGCTCTGACTTGTCCCTGTCTGTGATTGGTCAAATGTTGCTAACCCCGCCCCTTTCACGTGAACGCTTTCAGCTGGAGAGAGAAACCCTGGCTTGATTTACCGAGTTGATAACCAGCGTCGTAGGACCGCTTAGCGAGATCTCGTTTGTTAGGGTTAGTTAAGATAACTCAAACATATCCAGGGTCTGTTGAAATGGCTTCGTAGTACAGGGCACAGGTGGCTGCATAGCAGCGCTAATGTCAAAGACACAAACATTATAGGCTACATTATATTTTTATTTTACCAGGATGCAGTGACAAAAATATTTGGGAAGGCTTAGCCTTCCCTAGCCTACAGTACCCGCCGTGAAAAACCATGAAAAAGTCTTCATATTAATTATTAATATGAAGACTTTTTTTGTTTTTTTTTGTTGAATATACAAATATTACCATGAATGTGGACAAATACTGTATTATAACAATACGGTATTCTGTTTTTCACATTTGTTATTTTGTATTTGTTATTTTTTAATCTGTTCGAAATAAAGACTGAAATAAAGAAATAAATAAATTACAGTTGAAAAATATAGGAATGGATAAAGTATATTTTTTGAATTCTTTCATTTATTCAGAGATTATTTGCAGGATATTACATGGCACCAAGTTTCAGTTTTGGTGCTTGGTTTCTCCTTGGTAGCTATTGGATTTTTGTTCTTGAAAAAAATTAACAACCTCCTTTCTCCTGATTTCTCCTTGTTAGACCTTTGTGCCAAGTTAGCCTCGGATGTTGCTATATAATATTGACAACATGTCTTGCAGCATTTTCACTGCTGCCAATATACTGAGTACTGAGCTTGTCATTTTTTACTGGCCATGTAAAAATGATGTTGCGATTATGTTGCAATGTCAGGAAATAGTTTTCTGTTTCTATTGTTGAAGGTCTTTCTGCATTTCACCATCACCTCTTCCTTATTGAAATTCTATATGCAAAGAAGAATGATGAACTAAAGGAGCAGGATACTCCTCGATACAACTGATAACTTAAAAAGCCTGTTGTGGATTAAATGGGTTGGTTACTTTTTTTTAAATCAAAAACAACATTTGAACATTTCATTTCTACACCACCTTACATTTTAGATTTGTCCTCTACCACATCCCAAATAATACATTCAACAGAGTTACAAAATATGAAACGATATACTTCAAAGCCACATTTTAAGTTAGCTCCCTCAGCTAGCTAGTGAATGTGGGGTTTCTGGAAATATTAGCTCACGTTGACTCGCAAATCAATTGTGCTTTTAGCTAAGTTAAGGTTTGACTGGGCAAAGCAGGTTAATTAACATACGATAGGCTCTATTTTCATGCTGTGACTACCATTTAGCTTCTATTTTGCCTGAATCAACACGTTGGTCAAAAATGTGAACATTATGGAATCAACCCATGTTTTTGCTAGGATCTGAAAATAGTAAAATCATCATTGATATGCTATAGGCTGCTTAAGTATAATCACTTATTTGTGTAAACTGTAGGATGATAATTCAATTAGAAAAAGTGGTGTAGCTGCACAATACAGTAAGTTTGCTCTCCCTGATTGTATAAGTGGGTGCATTTGCTCCTCTTGATGCTGATTGTGGTTGAAGCTGTGTCTGAAAAGGCAACAAACAGTAAGTGTGTGAGTATAACTACCATTGCTACAGTTTACACTGATGGACCCTCCCTGATGGTTTGTCCATACTCCAACTAAAGTGTTGTTGAGTGAGAGGATGAAATCACTGGTGGTAATGTTTGGATGGGGTTACCGCAGGGTAAGCATTGTGCTTACAGATAAAACTCCCTTTCCATTTTTACAAGAGATTGATGGTTTTTACATTAGCTTTGCACTAAATATTGCAAAAATGATTTCTAAAGTCTCTCTCAGCACTCCAGGAGTGAACATTTTACCATCATCTAATGTCTAAGGGTATGATTACAGCTCTTGTATTAAATGAGTATAGGCCCAGTGTTTTGTACACTGTGAGCCAGTAATCTCTCAGTTTGCTGTCAGTCGATATAATACACAATACTCCTGGGAGGCTCAAAACCATAGCACTCCTTTCTGTCAATTCATCTTTTGGAAATAAAATGCTGATTAACGTTTGAACTCAGCAGCAAGCAAATACATTCATTGTGCTACAGAAAAGCAATATATTCTCACAGTTCTTGACTGGGAAAAAAATGTATGTTTTCAAATCAGGGCCTATCACAGCATGTTAAGAGGTGCTTTTAAATCAATCAATCAATTATTATTCATATTGCCCAATATTAGAAATATCACTTTTGTCTTATAACCCTCGCTTTTGTCCTTATCCCCTCGCAAGGCAAAACTCCCCAAAGCAACCCTAAAATGATTCTGAAAAATATGGAAGAAACAAAGGAGGGATCCCTCTGCTAGAATGTGTCAAATATGTTGAGTGGAAAGATAAAAAAAAAAGATAATAACATTAAAACATTGAAAGCATCGGAAGCCAAAAGGCAGCCAAACCCTTTCAAGAATGCCAATGCCATCCTTTACATCTCGCATAATAAATTGTCAACATTTAATAAGTAAAGTAAATTAGCTCCAACTGACTCTATTACATCCCTGTTTGCTTTAAAGCAGGGCATTGTGTTGATAAGACCCAAAGAAAATATGCTGAGCTTTCAAGTTCAACTTGGAACTGATGTTGAATCCAGTACAATGTGTCCTTCTTAGTGTTTTTTGCAAATGTAGCTAACCAGGAGAGCACCAGTGCCCTGTTAGATCGAGTTTGTTGGGAAGTGTATACCCAAAGGCATATCTTACATCAAAAGTCGACTTGATTCTTAATTGAACCGATAGAATACAGCGGCAGTGACAGCTCTGTGGCGCTTTGCCTCAGTAAAACTTAACAGCCACTACAGTTTCTTCTGTGTAATGATTAATGAATCCAATTTCTGTGATCTGTATTGAGCGTGGCATCATGGGTAATTAAATGATGGTCTATAGAGCACTGACTGTTCTCATAAAATGACAAGGCCATAATTATCATGAAGCTTGGTTACCCCCTGACTCAAATACTAATTGTGTATCAATAACCAAGTGGACAATGTCACAGAATTAAAACCCAAAACAACCAAGCTGTGCAAATAGCTCACAGCCACTGTAGTCAATAACACCCAGTCCCCCTTTTGACAAAAAATGAAATTTAGATTTGGGTTATTCATTACAGTTCATATTTATTCATTGGGCCATTTCACAGGTTAAATAAAGTGAGACATGTAAAACCAAGAAGAAATATGCTTTAAACATATTCACATTTTGAAAGATAAAAAACTGCAGTGTTAATCCATTGGAGAAGAATAAAAAGCAGCTCCCAAACGTATTGTTCCCAGTATGTTGTGTCATGAAAAAATAACCTGCCAGACTTGCAGGCCTTTGTAATAAAATAATTCTCCCTCACTGAATTCTGAACACTGCATGTAACACCTCAGTAACCAAGAATATGGCTTCCACCAGTAAATACAATAACAAAAGCAGTGAGAAGCGCACTGTGCTCAGAGGATCCGTTTACACTTTGTCATTAATTAATTAAAAAGCATAATTTTCAAATGAGCAATACGAGCTCTAACGCAGCACGCAAATAAGCAGTGCAGAGAAGTCTCCCTGCAGGAACTGCGCGGCTGTCCACGAGTATAAAAAAAATAGTAAAATTGATGTTTCCTTTACTACCATTTAAATCAAGCTTGTTATTTTTATTATTGTTGTCCCCCTTTGAGATGAATAGGGTGATAAAAACAAATGCCCGCCCTTGTCTCGCTGACATTTTAGGGAGTCCTTTTGGAGCAGTAAAGATGCCCACTTGATGGATACCAGAGCTCTTCCGACAACGGGAAAAGACAAAATGAGGAATGCTTATGGGTGCAGGGCAGATAAGGAAAATAAATAGAGAGAACATGGGGTGAAGGTGGGTAACATCAGTGACGAATGGAGAAAAACAACGAGGCTAAGACAAAATAAGAGAGTGACATGCTGAAAAAGTCCATCAGCATGAGACTTTAGGACAGGGTAGAACAGGAGATCCAGGGAGAGCCGGGAGGGAGAGACAGAACAGACAGCCCCAGCAGGAGCCGTCAACTAGAGAAGATGAAAACAAAAGTGCTGGACACATTGACACACTCATTGTCTGTTCTTCTGTGTTTGTATGCCGGTCTGTAGAGAAGCTCCCCGGAGGCTAGTCTTCGTTTCAGCTCCTTCCACAGCAGATCCCGCTCCTTCTGGGCTCCCTTCATGAAGCCCCGGTTCTCCTGGGCTCTCCGAGACAGGTAGGGCATCACCTCGCTCACCGGCCCATAGGGGACGTACTTATAGACGGGGAAGCCTGCCTGGCCTGGGATCAAAGTGGATGTGATGGGAGGGAAACAGAAGACACAAATAGGCTTTGTGACATATGTATAAAGATGACAAAGGTAAAGTAAATATATTTTCAGAGAGATTGTTAGAATGTGATTGACAATTGAGTATTTGGTAACACCGTTTTCACAGGTTCTTTTTGACAGTATCCAGAGAACACATCATGACTGGCCAACTTGTGGCCCCACGCAAAGTTATATGATGAGGCCCTCTGTGTCGCGAGCGTCAACGGGGGGCGGGTGCTAATGGAGCCTCGCAGCGGCGAAACTGTGGCGCGCTTACTGTAGGTGCGCCGCATTTGCGCTTCAGATGAGGCTCCCTCCGCAAAATGAAGCACCATCTGCAAGATGAGGCCCCCTCCGCGAGGTGAGGCCAAGCCCCCAGGAAGTGCGTCGGACTCTGAGGAAAATATTTGTTGTGGCCAAACGGCGGTACTACACTTCCGTATAGGTTGCTGGGCCCGGAAACACTTTTTCCCATTGACTTACATTGGGAAAGAGTGGTCTGTAAATCGTTGGATATATTTTTTTAAACTAAATAAACTACCCTGTATGAACATTTGTATAGCCCTTATTGAAAATATTCGGTCCTCAAGTTGTAAAATGTGCTAATAACGTTATTCTGAGAGTTATTTTCCTCTGCATTATGAACGCGCATCAAACGCACGGGGCCGCGCCGCCCGGCATGTTCATGTTACGTGTTCAGCACTACATGAGTGTTACCTATACCCATGGATGCACAATAACAACGGACCCATATTGCCTTACGGAGCCCACGGAGCTGTAATAATGAATATACAGTATTGCACATGTTTGCTGTAATTCATCATTTGTAAAATATTATACTACATGGGCTGTATGATGTAAATCTTGTACCGTACATTTTGTATTAAATAAAGTTTACGAATTTTTGTTCTCAAAAAACAGTGCATTGTGTGTAATACAACTGTGATTTTTATTAAATTAGTTAATAACTCTTAAGCCCCACGGACCCGGTTCCGGGGCCGACATCGCGTCATTTGCAGGAAACAACGTCGAAGGAACCTTAATATTTAATAAACTATGAATATTTTTATTTTTTATAATTATATCCATATAACGGGGAAAAACTCATTTGACTGATCTTTTTCATTTTTTCAAAAAACAAACACAATGCTAACAGTGAGCCTCTGAATTAGCCCCGAGCGAAAAATGCTAACCTATTACTGCACCGAAAATCACTCCTAGCTCCCTTATTACTTATCCTAGCTGCACATCCAACACAACGTTTATGATCGTAAAGACACAGAATCTAACGGTGCCCACCTCAACACTGAAAGATACAAACTTGCGACGTTATCAACAAAAACGTACATCAAAACAAGTGGCGCTAGGTAGCCCACAACGCTAACATGGCTTACCTTCGTCTTTGTCTGGTCTAAACTGGTCTTCAATGGCATTAAAACGATAACAACGATGATGTAGTTAATCCTTAGGTGTTCTACCCCAAAAAGCCCTGAGTGGGAGGGTAGTTTATTCACCAGTGTTGTGGCTATGTTTGTGAAGAAAATGTTTAAGTAATTGGCCACATCCAGCTTGTCTGTGATGAGCATGTTATCTGTCTTTATGTTTTTGTTTGAAAATCTGGTTTTAAGTTTTTTACTGCAGCCTAGTTGATTATTGAGTAATTTCCAAAGTTCACGGGTTTATTTTTGTTTTCCTCAGTTTTGTTATTGATGAAATTCTTTTTTGCAGTTTTGATCATGGAGTTTACGTCATTTCTTAGTCTGTTTCTTTGCAGTTTGAGTTCAGTCACGTGGGCTTGGTCACTGCTCAAGCTTTTGGTAAGCTTTGACTGACTTTTACGAAACTCAGAGCATTTTTTGTCTCTGATTTTCATAGCGGTCAATATTTCGGAGTGCATCCACGGCTCAGCGCGATTTTTTACCCTGGTGGTTCTTAGGGGGGTCATGTCGTTTAGTAATGTTGAGAATTTGGTTTTGAAACCAAGCCATGTTTCTTCAACCAGTGTACCACTGAGCTCATCTGACCAGTCCAGGCTCTCCAGTTCTAGGTTAAAGGCCTCGCGAGAGTAGGTTTTGAGGTCTCTAGATGTGACTGTTTTGTGACAGCCGGCCTTTTGTTTTAGCTTTTTGCGGGTACAGAATATCATATAATGATCGCTTAACCCGCATGCTAAAACCCCTTTACTGGAGATCCCGGACCTGTCAGAGGTCAGAATGAGATCAATGGTAGTTTGTGTTGTTTCACATACCCGGGTGGGTTGGGTGATTAGCTGGCTGAAGCCGTGCAGATCACAAAACCTACTGAAGGACTTGAAGACGGGTGCATCTTTTCGTTGCATATCCGTGTTCCAGTCTCCAATAAGAATTGTTTCTACATCCCCAACTCCAGCCAAACACCCATCCAGTGTATCATAAAAGCCACTCTGTTCTGGCGGTCTGTAGATTGTGCCGACTAATACTGATTTAGCCCGTTCAAAAATAATTTCAAATCATACAGTTTCAAAGGTCTCGTGATTCAGGTCAGTACGGATAATGAATTTGGTGTCTTTATGTATGTACAGTGGCGTTTTTATATGTACAAAAGTGGTGGGGCACAAAAAACGTAGATGTCTATATATAAGCTTCTGCAGTGAGGTTCATGGCTGGTGAGGCACTGGCTCTTCAGGTTTACAAATATTATATTTTGACCTAAATCAAAATATAATATTATTTTCAAAAGCTTTTTTTGTCTGATGCTTCGATTAATTTGAAACAGACAGTTCAACAAAAGGATACCCAAAAAATGTAATTTTATCATTTAAATATTGAATTGTTCTCTCTTAGTAAGATCTCATTTTCAATAAAATTGCGGTATTACCTTGACTTGAAGATGAAGTCCATTTGCCTATCCTTCTGGACAAAAATCTCTATTACTTTTTTGTAAAAGTCCTCCTTATCTTCTTGTAGTTTCAAAAGTCTATCATAAATCTAATACATAGATTTATGATTAGAAAATGATAAAAGTAGGGTAGACATGTGGATATTATCCGGCTGAACAAAACGAGCATTTATCTAACAGGTACGTTTCCCACAGATCTTATTTTGAGCTATTTTCTAAAATCCCATGGAGAAATATCATTGCTTTTTTGTCGAGGGAAGCCATGCGCAGCTTACTTCCTGGTTTTAGGACGCGTCTCTCTCCTCCTCTTCACACACCACACTTTTCGCGGCACACGTACTTACAGCCAATCAGCTCTGAATTCAACACACTCTCACTCCATAATCGTCCAGGAGCGACGTTTGGTCAGTGTCCGTGGCGTGCAGTTGTGACGCTCCTAGGCTCCTTCAGCGTCATAAAGGGACGCAAATAGCTTTTAACTGATTGCAATGTATTCCCATCTGCGGCGGGATTTGACGCTCATGGAAGCACGGCATTCGTTTGTGTCGGCTGCCCTTAAAGGCAATGTGAGCGTCCATTCTCATTGGATAATGGAGAATTGTACACCCGGAAGTAAGTATTCTCCTTACTGTCGATTGATTTTACAGTGATATCTGCACTACTCATCGACTAAAAAACACCAGATTATCCTTGTTAATTACACAACATTGATTGGTTTAAATTGTGTGCAATGCTTTTGTATTTTTCCCCTTCGATTCGGAGAAACAAATATTTTTTCGGAGTAAAGGATGGCAGAAGACACTACACTACCCAGAATCCCCAGCTATCGTTTGGACTACACCATGTGTAATACACAGTTCAGACGCATTAAATATTACATATCTGCCGTAGTTCTCTATTTATAGAGCCCTGCTGAGAAGACTTCTAGACAAACAGGAGAACTGCCGCCAAAACTGAAAACGTGACTTGGATCATAAATATATAAGCAATTAAACAACATCTTACATTTAGTTTCACACAATACGTCTCCTTGCAGTATCAACACTAAATCGGTTGACTTTCATATTTGATACAATTGGTAGATAGGCTGTATTTACACCATAACGGTGCACAGTTGATAGAAAGGGACACCTGGTGGTTAAAGCACGTTATTTTATTTTATTATTTTATTATTAGATATTAATAGGAGGATGTGCAAAACAGACAAACTAATAAGGCTTAATTTAAACCTTAAAGAAGTTTTTTAATATAACTACGGTTGTAGTTGAAGCGTTTGTAAATTAACATGAACCGAAGCTGTTGCCTGGCAACGCAATCGCACAACGTCACGTCCGTTAATTCCACATCCACACGCATGGATTAACATCGATTTAATACATTAATGGGGCAACAAGAAAATCGGCGTAATCGAGTGTGACTATTAACAAATAAATCATTATTATATTAATATTGACAATAACAACCGACCGTCAGGGTAGCATTTGCTTGGCATTTCCGGGTATTTCCCCACTGGTTAACATGGTTTAACAATACCGTGTAACTGTCACGTTTGAAGGGTGACGAAATCGTGACATCTTCACATCTCCCAGCATGGTAAATCGTCACATGTTCACGTCTTGCCGTGATACCGGGTTGCTCAGTTCATATGTTACGCTATGGGCTGCAGACTGACTCCATGTGCACTGCATGCAGTCCGAGCTCTCGTAGAGACACAGCGGGGAGAGTTACAGAGGAGGGCTGTGGACACACATCCTGCAGAGGCTGAATTTAAAACACTAACATCATCCTAAAAGGCCTTGACACACCAAAAGTCTGTCCGTTTTTGCGAAGGTCCCGCAGTGTCAGCACTTTTCCTCTTGTCTGCAAGATAAATCACTCTGATTGGCTGTTCAGCGTAAGCCAATCAGTGAAAAGGAAGAAAAAACGTGAGGAAAATAAACAAAACAGAAAAGAGTGTCAAGAGGGCACACAAAGTTCACTCTTCATCTTCATTTCATCTAATCATTCAAAATCATCTATAATGAAGCTAAGTGATGAAGCTAATAGATACAAATAAAATGTTGTTGTTTTGTAATGCATGTATAGTAACAACGGCTTGTATATCTACAGTCTTAGGTTTTTCGGATTCTATTTTCGAATGACAAATACAGACTACAGCCCCCTGTTGTCATGGAGAGTTAATTTCTCTCAGGCAGTGGCAGAATGAGGTGATAGTTGGCTGTTTACTGTGGTTTTTGCTGAGTGTTCAAATTTGGTTCAAATGTGACTTTTTGGCCAAGATGGATGCAACGTGAGGTGGCACAACAGTCGGCTCAATCGCAACTAGTTCTTTGATGAATGTTTGGTGTGAAAGAGCTTTAAGTAGAGCAGGAAATACAGGGCCTGGTTATTGTTGGCTTTGTGAGAGAGAGAGTATTCGTGCATGTATTTCTCACCCAGTGGTAAGCACTCTAGTGCCGGCATGGACATTCTTCCGATTGGGATAAAACACTCGTGATCTGATCGCACATGCCCAGGAGTTGACCGAAGTACACCTTGTTCTCTGTCGGTGAGAGACCCAGCTCATTCATTCTGAATGAGGCAGAGACACAGAGAGACTTAAAAATAACTTCTTCGTTCACATGCAACGCTGTATACAAAAATATTTTGAAGTGGATTGTTCAGCCGTACCTCCTCAAGGTGTGTTTTACCGTGTCCTCATTATGGGCAGCTACCATAACGTTGGCATTTCTGTTGAGTGCAATCTACCACCAGCATGTAGTCCAGGCACCTGGACAAATAAAAATGAACACATGAAAGATCATTTATCTTTATATATCTACTTTTGTTTGTAAGAACCTGTTTTCTACAAAAACTAAAATGCTGCAAAATATGAGAAAAGTTAATGATTTGTTGAATATCACAACAACAATAATAATACAAGATGGCTGATGGTGTGTGTCGTGGCTCGGTAGCTCCCGATTCAAACCACCGGCCTCGACTAAAACCTACAATATACAAGACTGTTGACGGCCTAGTTATTGTAGAGGATGAGTTACTCAACTTCCTGGTGGTTAAAATTAAAACTATGACCCAGGACGAGCTAGTCCTTGTAACCTCTAACACCTTTGATTCCGAATGGATCGAGACTTCTAAAAAGACGTTGTTTGAACTCTGTCCTGAAACCAAGCAGCGGTGTGTGGCCTTTAAAGGCAACCAGAAGGATGCAAACAATATCAAAAGCTGCCTAAAAGTGCTAAATGAGTGCGGTGAAAACATCCCCCCTTTTGTCTCCCACTACTGTACCTGGATGAGCTGCCGCCTGTTACCTTTAACAACCTGGATGTGTCCAACCTGCTGAGCAAGATGGAGCGACTGCACAGCGAGGTTTGCGCATTAAGACACGTAGTGGAAGTTCAGGCAGATATCGGTGAGGACCTGCGTGCTGTGGCTGCGACCATGGACAGCAGAGTTGCTGCCGTAGAACGCCAGTTGGAGCCGAGTCATGGTGGAGGACTGGCTGTACCAAGTGACGCTGAAACTGCCTGTGGGAGCGCTCAGGGTGATGGCCAGGATGGTGCGGTATCGGTGAAGGATGCGAGCCCCCCCGGCTCTTCTACTGATGTACATCCCAACTGTGTTGACCCGGTTGCTGCGTCAGGGACCGTGAGTGCCTGTGTGAGCCCTGGAGGAACTGCGGTAAATTCGCAGGTATGGAGTCAAGTTGTGAAACAGGGCCGAGGTCGGAGGAATAGGGCCTAGGGCCAGTCTGCCTGATCTAAACAGCTTGTTGGGAAACCTGAACGGAGGATGCCTAAGCCTATTGTTGGCACTGCTGCACAAGGGAATATAAAAGCGATCCGTACGAAGTTGGTGAGTGTTTTTGCAACCAAATTCTCGCCAGACCTTGATGCTGAGACACTGTCCGAATATCTAATACCTCATTCACACCAACGCAACTCCGGTTCAAGCTCCGTGCTAGAGCTTTTCAGGTTCAGAACCAGTTCTTCGGTTTAGCTCTGGCTCTTTTCACACCGCCCAGAGTCCGACTGGTAATGCGTCGTTGCGTCATCGTTTGCGTCATGACGTAACCGTTTGCGTGCCTGCTTCATAAAGCCAAACCGCGCGGATGAAATCAGTTGCATTAATTTCTTATGGCTCTATCTGCAGCTTTTCCGGAGTAATTTCTGTGGTTTAGTTATATTCTTATAAAAAAGTGTACTCGTGTCAATAAAGGTTTTTTTAAAACACAACTGCTTCCGATGTCTGTCTTATTTCTTAAGGTGGACTGAACCATGAGTGTGGAGTAACGTTGTATCTTTCATTTCAATGAACTGTAACCTTCACCCAGGTATGTAACAGCTGTTCTCAAATGAACACGTGAAGTAAAGTTTAATATGTATAGTTTTATAGATTTATAATGAGTTATAATGAGAGGTGATCAACGTGAATGCTCAGGTTCCACCTTAACACGCAGACACGTTGCTTCACCATGAGCAGAAACCTTTATATATACAGTCTATGGCAGAAACACTGAAACTCTTGTTAAGTTTCTCCATCGTTGTGTACAAACTGGATAAAACGCGGGCTTTTTGTTGTTGTTCAGGAGTTGATCTGTCTCTGCCCCCGCCTCGACGTAAGCGTGACGTATGTGGTGCTTTTGCTCTGGCCGGACCATTTTTTGGTGTTGAAACGAACCGGATTCCGGAGCTAAGAGGCTGCTCCGCTGCGGTGTGAAGAGGAAAACCCGGTGCTTTTCAAGCTCCAGCTCCGAACCGGCCCTGAAACACTGTTGGTGTGAATGAGGTATATCTGAACAACTCGGCCGTGATGTTAACTGTCACCGTATTGACACTGCGAGCAACAGATATAGCTCGTTTAAAGTGTGTGCTGAGTGCAATGAAGTTGCGGAGATGTTTAACCCAGAACTGATTGATTGATTGATTGAAAAGTTTATTAACAGCTTGTATATTGGGTACAGTACAGTACAGCTCAAAACATACAATTGTTAAAGAGCCTGTGACAGCATCCCAACAACTGTTGTGCAATGAAATATTGGGCTACTAGTAATCTCAAACCGTCAGTTTAAAAAAGGAAAAGCGATACCGTTCCGTTAAATATCAATAATTTCGAACATCGCGGGGAAATTCCTTCGACTCATTTTTAAGTTTTGGGGGAAGCCGGAAGTGACGTCAATGCGGGAACGCTTCACTGTGCGGCGAGAGAGCCAAACACGGACAAAGTGTGTTGTCATGCGTAGAAATGGTGAATTACTGAGTTTAGGCACGTTAATAACGTTGTAATGAAGTTGACTACAGTATATTCATATTTGTCAGTGCTTTCATGTCAATTCGGCGAACATAAACATAAATGATCGTGGTGAAGATGATGATTACATTAGGATTACAAATCGGTAGTGAGAGCTGCTGAATTTCCTCCCGTAGGATGTGATATAAAAACAAATCCATTATTTTTGTAGTTGTAAACTCAAGTGGATGAAACTGTATTAGTGCTTTCATGTCAATTCGGCGAACATATGATACATTAAATGATCGTGAGGATGATGATTACAAATCGTTTGTTTGAGCCGGTCTGCATTTCCTGATGAGAAAACAAACCGATGCTTTTTGTAGTTGTAGTACACCAACATGGATTAAACGTGTGGTTTTTTTCACCACAATGTTGGGGAAATTAATGGATAAAATGCACGGATTATTATTATTATTATTCCCACTCCGATCGGGACACTAGGTCCACCGTTTCCCCGCAGCGAGGCTCCCCCCGTTGACAGTTTCCGTGGGCTGGGTGCAGTCGCGGACTGGCCATCGGGACGAATCCCGATGGGCCGGTACCGAAGTGGGCGTGAGGCTCAGGTTTGGGAAGGCTAAATAACTTTTTTTACCTGACGCTGCCCGCCTCCGGCGTCTATAGAAAAGAGATCAACTCAGTGAAAGCACCGCCTGCTGACCGATCAGAGCTCAGTGTGCAGAGTTTAAATCTCTCAAGTCATATTACAGGATAAAGGAAATACAGTTTAAACTGCCGTATGCAGAGAAGACGCCGACGTGTCGCACTTATCATTCATATTACATCATCAATCAGATCATCGATCATATAATATCATAATATATCATATATCTCCTTATCTGCCGTATCTGGCCGTGCAACACTCACAGTGTCACACATACTGTATGCAGAAGTATTATTTTAAGCAACACATTATGTTGACGAAACACTCGAGTCAAATGTAATTAAAGTCAGATCCACTCATGTCTTAGACGGGAACGCGCTCTCAGCTGGAGAGAGAAACCCTGGCTTGATTTACCGAGTTGATAACCAGCGTCGTAGGACCGCTTAGCGAGATCTCGTTTGTTAGTTTGTTATTGTTAGTTAGTTTGTTACTCAAACATATCCAGGGTCTGTTGAACTGGCTTCGTAGTACAGGGCACAGGTGGCTAGCAGCCAGGGTCGGCTCTAGAACAAATCAAATGGGGGGGCAATCATTTACCAAGGGGGGGCACACACTGCCGTCAACAACCAACACACAAACACCAACGCAACTTCAATTAAAAAAAACATGCTGTAAAGCTATTGTCTCTCACACACATTGCAGGGGTGTAGTGCTATTTTATAGCACACCTATGACCTGTGCATGCAGGGTTGTGGCACGATCACCAAAACAGAAACATATGGACATAGGCCACCATATGAAAAGTGTGCAAATGTATTTAGTATCCTATCCATGTGAACATGTTTTAGGTGGGGGGTGGACCTAACCTCCTCTAGGAGGGTCTGGAGGCATGCTCCCCCGGGAAGATTATTTTTAAAATATTGAAGTTAAAAGCATCAATCTGGTGCACTTTGAGAGCAAAATGAAGAGATCTAGGGATACATCTCTCAACATCCATATGAAACAGAACTGTAAACAGATTTACTTTTTCTTTATGGATATTTTACTAATCACTCCCCTTTTAAATGGTATTCTTGTGTTATTGTCCTATAGTATTTCATACCCGTTTTTCATTTATTCTCTTATTCTTTAATAGGCTAACTATAATGATCATAAGATCCTCTCAGTCTGACAGGAGAGGACTCTCCTCCACCTTGGTGTAGAAACAGCTCTTTATATCCGTTAGCATAGCTAGCTAACCAGATGCTAACAACAATATTCCACGTTACTGCTCGCGCACTGACAAAATGCGCTCGTGCCACACACAGAGAGCCGAGCTTGAATGAAACACAGAGACCCATGTACTTGTACTGTACTGTATATCATATTATTTTCGATGGCTTTACTGTATAATCAGTGTAACAGATGGACAGATCGCCACTGGGCTTTCATCTAAACACACAGCCACGTAATGATAACAAAACAAAAGTCGGGGTCATTGGTCAAGCAACACACCAATCAGAGAGCAGCAGTGAGCACACCTCAGGCTGTGTTTCATATAAAGAATAAATAAAGAATACAAATGTGTATTCTTTATTTCTGATGTATTTCACACAAAAAACTTTTGGTGGAAACGTTTTAACTTATATGATTAAAAAAAAAAACGGTAAAGCGGCAATAAGGCTTGCCCACCCTGCGTTGGGGGGGCACAATGACTCATTTGGGGGGGGCATGGCCCGCGAATGACCCCCCATGACGCCGACCCTGCTAGCAGCGCTAATGTCAAAGACACAGACATTGCATTATATTTGTATTTTACCAGGATGCAGTGACACAAATATTTACATATTTACATTTACTATCTACAGCACCCGCCGCCCCTGACATCCCCCACTCCCCCCGTTGACAATTTACTAGCGGTACCGAAGTGGGCCGGTCGAGAGTCCCGGGATGATTTTTAGTCCCATTCCACCGTATTGACGCACCTAATTCCTAAACTTCTAACAGATGCAACATAAACCGATCCTTCAGCCTCATGAGCTCTCAGACACGTTCAAAATTAAACTGTCATCGCTGTCTGAGCTTGCTGCTGTGTGCACCATCGTGCGTTTACATGCAGATGCTGGGATCCTGAACGGTGCAGCTGGAGCGCTGTGCTCGCAATGACGTCACACATAATTTGGCGGGACTTGAAGAATCCCCGAGCAGATCCAGGAAATGGTCAACATTGAAGGGCAGATTAATGGTTATCAAAGTACAAATATCCAAAATCAGTTCAGTAACGGTTTTCAAGGGGACAATATTTACTCAAATTGATGGGTTTGGATGATGGGGGAAACTCGTGTCACAGGCTCTTTAAGGGGATGCAGACCAGAGAAAGACTTTCGTCTTGTTTACATCAGGGTCCCCCATTTCCAATTCATCATGTCATTTAAGACATATAAGACATATTTGACATACAGATGGCTTATTTACAATTTACATACAGCTGGTTTTTTTACATACAGATTGCTTGTTTACAATTTTCATTTTAGATTTCGTTCTAATACATCCTAACCGGACATTTAAGACATACCAAGTCTACAGATATACAGTTAGTAACAGAGTCTAAAATGCGAGTATATACATAGATGGGGGGGGGGGGGGGGGGGGGGAAGCTGTCCATTGAATGACAGGTTGAGATTTGTACCATTACCGGGGCCAGTTTTGCAATGCTCTCCCCCCGAAGGTGCTCTTTAAGAGAGGTTTTGAAGGTAAGTATAGTTTTACTTTCCTTTACAGTTGTGGGAAGAGCGTTCCACCTTGATGTGGCATAATTGCGAAACGTGTATTCCCCCTTTTTTGTGCCAAATCTGGGTTTCACATGATTTGTGGAGCTCCCTCTGGTGTTATGATCATGGTATTCCTTGACCTTTGGGAAGAATTTTGACATGTACATGGGTACCATAGAGGTGTAGTGGATCTTGTAGACCAGGCCCATTGCAAGTATCTGTACTCTGTCGTCTACTCTAAGCCATCCTAGGTTGTCAAAGTGGGCAGAGGTGAGGTGGGTTCTAGATGAAAGGTCAAGCAGTAGTCTGACCAGTTTATTTTGCGATGTTTGAAGTTTTATTCTCTGGCCTGAAGGCTCAGTTGTGAGGCGATACTATGAACCACGTAAAGCGGAGGTGATAGGGGCTAGCAGAGCTAGACCTTTTGCTGGTGCGAGGGTACTGAATGGGGCTACGGCTGAGCTGCTTAGCTAAACGTTATGCGGGTTGGATAATTTACCTGTCGCGGGCTGCGCCTGGGCAACAGCGCTGCTGATAGGATCCGACGTGTAGTGGTGGACAACTTACTACAAAAATGTGACATTTTATGCTTGCAAGAAACTTTCTTACCAAAGCAGGACTTGGGAAAGTTGAACTCTCTTAATGACAATTTTCACGGGGCTGGTGAGTCCACTACGGACCTTTCTCTGGGAATAGTGAGAGGAAGGATAGCAGGGGGCGTGGCTATCATGTGGCACAAAAAGCTGGACGCTGTCATTAATGTCATCAGGCTTGAAGTTGACTGGTGTATTGCTGTACAGATCTAAATGAATAACAAGGAGTTTAGCATTCTCAATGTATACACCATATGAGTCACAGCATAATGAAGATGAATACCTAAACAGACTTGCTTTTATACATTATTTTATTGTTGGTAATCATTCCACCAGTGTTGATGTAGTGGGTGATATGAATGCTGACATATCAGACAAAAGGTCCTTGTTTGCTAAACATATGCTACAGTTTTGTGATGATAACAATCTTATATTATCAAGCCAAATACTTCTGCCTAAAGATAGCTATTCATATATAAGCGAGGCCTGGCATACAACTTCATGGCTTGACCATTGCATAAGCACATAATGCCCATGACACTGTAAGATCAATTGAGATTGTGTATGAGCCATCAATGTCAGATCACATTCCTTTTGTAATGTCACTAGATTGTGATAGTCTCCCTGAGATGTCTCAGGAGGTTAAAAAGGCCTGTACCACTAAAGTGGATTGGTCCAAGCTCACAAATGAGGATAGGCTATTGTACTATGGGAGAACTGATGTCCTATTGAGTGATGTATATCTACCCAAAGTGGCAACTCTGTGTGTTGATGTGGGTTGTAATGAAAGCTCTCACCGTGAAGACCTCTGTAACATGTATGATTGTATTGTGGGAGCTGTATGGAAGGCCAGTAGACCGTGCTATACCTACTCTAGGAAGAGACACAACGTCAAGCCAGGGTGGAATAAACATGTGGCTGATCAATACGCTGAAGCCAAGAATGCTTTTGGGGCCTGGGTCCAGGCAGGAAGGCCCAGAGAGGGGCCTGTCCTGGATCTCAAAAAGCGTACAAATGCTAGATATAAATATGCAGTTCGTTATATCAACAAACATACAGAAACATTGAGAGCGGATTCTATGGGTGAAAAGCTCCTTCATAATGATGTTACTGGCTTCTGGAAGGAGGTGAGAGCTCTGAACAGGGCCAGTACGTCATTACCGTGTACCATAGAGGGAGTATCTGGAGCCGATAACATAGCTGAGTTGTGGAGGCAACATTACTCTACTATACTTAATTGTGTTAAAAGTGACCCCTACAAAGTTGGTAATGTTGGGAAAAGTGACACAGTGGGAATCACAGCTAAAGAGGTTTATCGAGCAATTGCACAGCTATCTGATAACACAGCATGCGGCTCTGACCGAATCACTGCAGAGCACCTTAAACTGGCAAGCCCGAAGGTTGCAGTTCTTCTTGCCATTTGTTTTACCGGCCTCATGACTCATGGTATGTTGCCAGACTCCATGTTGTCTGTTACCTTGGTGCCTGTCATTAAGGACAAAGCGGGCAAGGTAGGGAGCTTGGATAACTATAGACCAATTGCTCTAGCCAGTGTGTTATCCAAAGTCCTGGAAATAATTTTGTTAGATAGACTATGTTCTTATTGATGTACCTCAGATAGTTTGGCTTCAAGGCTAAGCATGGTACTGAGCTATGCATCTATGCTTTGAAGGAAATGGTAGAAACATATAGAAGACAGAATTCCACTGTTCTGATTGGTTTCATTGATGCCTCTAAGGCTTTTGACCGAGTTAACCACCATAAACTGTTTTTAAAATTGAGACAAAGGGGTGTGCCTAACAGTATAATTAGGATCCTGGCTTATTGGTATGCCAACCAGAGCATGCGGATAAAATGGGGGAATGCAGTCTCGGTGCCATTTGGTGTTGGTAATGGAGTCCGCCAGGGGGGGCTCCTCTCACCATGCCTTTTTAATATCTATATGAATGATCAGATGATTTAAGTGTCTGTAAAACAGGGTGTGTGATTGGTAATATGATTGTAAACCATCTTATGTACTGTATGCTGATGATTTGGCAATTGTTTCTCCTAGCAGTGCTGGTTTTCAACAGTTGCTAAATGTTTGTTCTGATTACGGAGTCAAATTTGACGTTAAATACAATGCTAAGAAGAGCGCTGTAATGATCTGCAGAGCAAAAGGGGATAAGAACCTTTGTTTTCCAACATTCTACCTGTCAGGACAGGTGCTGTCATGTCATCATCATCAGCCATTTCATCTGTGATGATGTGTCCCAGATACTTAGTGTTACAGCATAGACAGCGGCGTGTCTTATATATGCAAGCCAACATGTTGGCTAGAAAATTATCTTGGTGTTCAGATAAGGTTAAGGCGAACCTCTTTAGAGCTTATTGCACTCCTCTCTATACTGCCCCCTTGTGGGTCAAGTATAAGGCAAGCCTCCGGAAGCTCCAGGTTGCATATAATGACTGTTTGTGTATACTGCTTAGAAAACCAAGGTGGTGCAGTGCAAGTGAAATGTTCTGTAATGCACGAGTCAACACGTTCCATGCTCTTTTAAGAAATGTACAAATTCATCTGTCGATTGAATGTTTCTCATAATTCTGTCATTATGCTGCTTTCAAATCCGTGTTTCAGTGCTGTACGATACCAGTCACCTCTGTGGAAACATTGGTATAACTGCCTTTTTTTATTTATATTTGAGTGTTGTATGTTTTGTAATAATGGACCAAGAGTCTCTTTAAATAAAGATGATGATGATGATGAATACAAATGCGATAAATAAATATTAAAGTGTACTTATTTTTGCCCTTCTGCTGCTTTTGTTAGACTGCTACAATGAAACAAATTGTGAGTTGAATAAAAAAAACAAAATAATGATTTGTTTTGTGAACAAATTGAACTGAACAAAAAAGGCATGAATAAAAAAAGAATGATAGTTAAAATGTCAAGATTTTTAATGAAACTCAAAAGATTCTCTGATTGCGTAAACAATTGAAAGAACTACAAACTATTATTCAAGATGATACATATAGTATATATATATATATATATATATATTCTTTGAACTTGCTCTCATTTAGGAGTGTCAGAAATTGGTTACAACCCTGCACCCTGGAGCTGGGTGGTATTCAGCAACTTGCACTTGGACAACTCAACAGGATGGATACTTGCTGACACAAGATGTTAAACTCAGAAACTCCACTTGAATTTAAATTAAAGGACCACTTCCCTGAGCTGTCCATAGCAGTGGATTTGTGCCTAGAAAGTGGACGGCTTAAATCTGTGAACCACATGGGAAAATTGGTTTGGCAAAATAAAATAAAAAAGGTTTTTCTAGGACACCTCACAGGAACTGTGTGCTTTCCAATGGTAATGGATGTAGCAGCAGGCAGCAGCTTTAATATTCAGGAATAAGAGATTAGCCTGGCTAAAGCAGATCATTTATTTATGTTATTTATTTATTTTAACAAGGATTCAAAAACATTTGAGGATTACAAATCAAATGTTTGAATAGGTGCTGGCACAGACATCAGGAGCACAATAACAAACAAGTAAACAACTAGAAATTGCAGAATTACAAAATATCAAAAATAATTCTTCATTATACAAAACATCTCAATTCTGATGTGCGTGCTGTAGTTAGACAAAAAACAATCATACTTTGCGGATGCAGATATGGGCAGCTACCAACAATTCCAAAACAAAGAAACAGGATTTTTGCCTGGTACATTATATTGGTAGACTCATAATCAGGGTTAATGGGGTCTTCATAATCGAGGTTTCCAGCCCACTCTCGTTCCTGATACATACTGTATAAGCCCCGCGCACCAGCTTGGCAGCAAAATGCCAGCCCTCACGTCGAGACAATTCTACGTCCATGGTTACGTTGTCATAGGCCTCCTGCAGAGCAAAAGAGGACAATGATTCACTTCATGGCAAAGACGGATATAAATCAAGTTCCAAGATTAGATACAAGATTGTGAAAGCAGTGTAATCTTTGCTGTCAATGTAACTTTTACAGAGCTTTATGATGTTTTGCGGTCCAATACATTTAGACTACATGATTTATGGGTCTACCTGTTCTACCTGACCTATAGGCCCCCATACCATTAACAACCACACAACACGACTGCTACTCCAACAGGGTTATACTCATGTATTTGTATGGCTCCATGTCAATAACTCGTGGAATAAACCAACCAATTTTGAGAACAAGAATGCCTTATCCTGGTTTTAGCAAGTTCAGCAACAAAGCAGTGGTGTAGTATACGCACAGCAACCCATTGTGACAAAATGGGACCCTCAATAATCTATGGTCTTAATTTTATCCAACAGGCAAAATGTGTTATATTTATTTTACAGTATGTGGCAAGCTTATAATAATCACGTAAAAAAAGGATGATAATCATATGAATGTCAACTGTGACTTACACATTTTGTTTTCATTTCAAATGGTGTGTTTAAGAAATACAAAATGAATCACCACATAACTGTTGAGTCGGCATTTTGTGTGTGCAGCGACATCATTAACATTGGTAGGTGTTGAAGATGACAGGTTTCTCTTTGTTGTAGATGCTCTGCATCTCTAATGTCTGTCTGCTGATAGCCGGCTGCAGGTACGTCTGCTCTGCATCCACCATCAAGCGAACCCCATTCTCTATACAGTATGCTGGGATAAAAAAGGATATAATTCATTTTGAATAATTTCATGTATTTATTCTATAACATAATTAAAATATTGAAATACAAAACATCCCATTATCAAATCAAGGTGATCACTGTTCCTTTCAAGAAAGAGGTTTAAAAATGCATGCACATCCAGATGATGAATACTAGGAGATGAGAATATGTAAAATATGAAATAATATAGTCTAAAAAAGGCTCCCATTAACACATTTATGCACCACCGGGTAACATGTATCTTCCTTTCTTACTAATCTGCTGGGTATACCATCATTACATTGTCTTCACTTATGTAATATAACATTTATATGTTTTTATTCATCCCTTATATTGTTGAAATGTCCTTTTTGTGTTGTTGGAGATGCCTGATGCTCTAGTCATGTCATATTCAAGATGTTCTTATTAAGCTCGAGGCACTTCAAGGTCTTTTGACTTGAGAGACAAGTGTATGACTTTGAAGTGCCCCGTGGAGCTTTGCATATATCTTTTTTATATCTGGTGTATTTTTACCATGCATTACATGTTCATATACGCTGTGACACAGTTACAACATTCATTTAGGATGCTTGGACAGGAATTAGATTGTGTGCAATAATGTGTCAATGTGTTATGATTATGGATCTATCCAACATGTATAGCCTACATTTATACAATTTGTTTTATGCATGCGATCCTGGGCAGCTGTTTAAGACAATTTGAACTGTCAGGTGAACTTGCTGGTGTGTATGTATTATTTTCTTTACGTGAAGAAAGGCTTGATGTTTCAAAACATAACCTTGTGGTAAATAAAAACATGGGAGCATTATCAAGTGTGTACATATTTTCTATCACTTTTTTCGCTCTATACATACATTGTTGAATTCCAAGTTTCGCGGCTGGAGAAAAATAAAAGTGTATCTTAACCTTGTATTCGTTATTATTCTCATATTTATGTTAAGCTGTACGGCTTTTACACAATAGCTAGCAACACATTTGTGCACATTGAAAAAGATCTGTACATATAAGTGCACTTTTATTGATAAGCAAGTTAATTGTCAGATGCTACAAAAAAAGATGTCATGGCAACAAAAGCACAGCTTGCTTTAATGATTACATTGTTGGGGCATGTTCAAACAATAAACAAGTTGACTCAATGAACATACCACCATGTGCATCAACACACAGTATTTAGGTAAACTAGCTATTACTCAGTTGATGTATTTTTGATTATTGCTTGTTCTTTGTAGTTTCTGTGAGTTTACCTTGACTAAGGTGTCCATGCGCTGCAACATCCTCTCCATTTGTTTCTCCTCCTCGTTGTTGAACTTCTGTAGCAGAGGCTCCAGCTCACCTAGCTGCACAGACAGGAGTGTGTGCACTGTGAGAGTCAAATATCACACAGCATACCACTGATTACCCTTCAGCTGTCTTATGTCCAGGGTCAGAAAATATGTTGAGGGAAACTTGCACACATTTTGTAAAAATGCTATAAAACCAGGCCGTTAATATGCTATGTGTGGAAGTTGTGTTCACAGATTTTGTGTTTTTAGTATCTTTTAAATGCAATTTTGATGCTTTAAAAAGGCTTATGCTTAGTGTATTTATATGCCCCTGTCACGATCTGTCAGCGTTTTTCTGTGTTTTATTTTGGAGTGTCACGATCTGTCTGTTTTCCTGTTTTATTGTGAAGTCTGTCTTTTGTCTGTGTTGCTTCCTGTCTCTCTGTGTTTTCCCTCCTGTCTGATTACTGATTCTCTTCACCTGGTGCCCTTGTGTTTTTCCTGCCCTGCCCTGAATAGGGTTACGGTTTTCCTGCCCTGTGTCTCGTCCTCTGATTAGTTCTGCATGTATTTAAGTTCTGGTTTTATGTTGGTGGTTGTGGGATTCTTGAGTCTTTCACAAAGGAGAGAGCGCTGGTTGTTGTTTGTGTCCCTGTGAGTTTACAAGGGAGTGAGTACTGGTGCAATGTAATCAGTAGTGATGGCAAAATGAAGCTTTGAATGAAGCATCAAACCACTTGGACAATTGTGTCGGAAATAGGTTCATTTCTCGAAGCTTCAGTTACAGCGACCTCTCCTGGCGAAGTGCAAGGCTGCAGTGGGTTTAACGTATCTTTGCCTTGAAAAATATTCGATGCACACACACACTAAGACTGAATATCATGTTCTATTTGCAATTAAAGATTGATAATTGTGTGTATTGGGTTATTGAGAAGAGACTAGAGAGTGCTGGAAAAAATTTTGGGGCGGAGAGGGCCTTTTATCAGTTATTAAAGTATTAAAGTTGAAAAGCAATGATTAAAAGTTCATCCATTCCGGGCTTTGAACCAGCTGCGCGGAAGACATCTCCGCAATCGGGCCGCCGGCTCTACCCACTGGGCTAATTGTTTTTATATTACTCATAATTGTCTTTTTGTTCACAACTTCTCCACATTTCGAAGTGTTTCACGAGCCAGAACGACCTATTTTTCTTCCTTGCTTGCCCTATAATGATTGTGAGTGAAACTTCTTTGCAACAATGCAGAGCCAAGGCTCAGGAAAGGATGGAAGCTGGAGCGGCTTTAGTCAAACACTGTTATTTATTGAGAGTAGAATACGGCCGGAGAGATCACAAAGTATATCACACTTTCATGTGAGCCACCTAGCAACACTCTAAAGACAAAGGGTAGAAACACAGATAGATATATCCTTAAAGGAGGGTCCTAAAAAGCCCGCCTTTCCTATCTTAATCATTACCAGACATTGGAACAAAGACCCGTTGTGCCAAACTTCTCACCCAGAGGAAGGCAGAGGACCTCTTGACCTGTGTCCTTCTCACATTACAGGCAGGAGCATATGCGACTTAACGAAAAGCATATGTTTGTAAATTAACAGTTTCTCAGAATAGCTGAGAAACTCAAGACACAAAGAGATCGGATTAAAATATTCTCTGACAGTTTCATTCTTTTTATCAATCTATGACAGTGCTTCTCAAAGTGTGATCCGCGGACCACTGGTGGTCCGTGAGCGCCCCCTAGTGGTCCGTGAGTATATTGGTACAATTTCACATTTTAAATAAATTCATAAATTAAAGTTTTACGCACTCACACATGTTGCCACTTGTTTGTACCATTTTCAGGCGATTTGTAATCTGTTCTAGAAAAACGATGTGATTTTGGATATTTGTGGGGTTAGGTGGTCCGCGAGTGTTTTTTTATTGGTTAAGTGGTCCTTGGTATGAAAAAGTTTGAGAAACACTGATCTATGATAACCAATTAAACATTAGTCTAAGAATATTTCAGTCAATACTTAAATCAATAAGCATCTTCAGAGTTGTGTGGGCTCACATACATCAATTACATCAAAAAGTAAAACAAGATTGAAAACACTTCAATCACCATGATTGAACACAGTCAATCATAATAGAAAAATCATCTCTCTTCAGTGTTTGGCATCATTTGTCAAAAGCACAATAATGAACACACATGAAATACAAAAATATAATAGCAAAATATATGTTTCAAAAATAAGATCTTTTATAATTTATCACTCAGTTAATCTCATTCATCAAACACAAATTCAAAATCAGCTTACATCTCAAAGATTTACTTTAAGGCAATGACTTATTAAAACACAATTAGAATTTAGGATTATAAGAAATCCAATTGAGGTATAAAATCAGAATCATGAGAGATCCAGCTAAAATTCCCAGTTAAGGTATAAATTCACAGTGATGAATCGATCAATCTGTAATCTGTAAAGTTACAGTGTCCTCAATCTTTAACATTACTTTACGTTTACTTCATTACGCTTTATTCAAGAGTAAGGCACTTAGTAGTACATATATTTCATTCAAATACATTTGTTCAAAATCTGAAAAGGAAGAATCAGACATTTATTGTATAACAACCTGAAAAGGAAAAATCAAAACATGTGTTCTTTATTCTGAGTGTCAAATCAAAACATCTGTTCTTTATTCTGAGTGTCAACTGTAATCAATTTGTCAATCGCTGAATGGGGGTACCCATCGTGCAGAAACCGCGATGGAGACCCATGGATCTTGAAGCTCTGCGTCATACATCAACATTGTGTCATCTACAGTTGAATACCCCACTAGCCTCTGTGGGGCCTGGAGGGCGGTCTTGGCAACCCTGCGTATGGCTAATTTAACTACAGTGATCAAACAGATCACTAAGATTAACACAACCAAGATAAACACTGAAACAGTAACAACAAATGTAACCAACCCCGCTCCCCAGGATCCAAAGGTTCCACTTAAATCCCCAAATGTAAACCCATGAGTTTCATGCAATTATTTTATTCCCCTGGCAGTATCATGAGCCATGTCCATAACTTCAGGTGTAGCATCAGAGATGAAAAAACAACACTCAGATCCAATCACCTTGCATGTGCCCCCCTGAGCAGCTAGGAGAAGATCCAGTGCCATACGATTCTGTAGTGCTACTGTCCTAACTTCCTGCAATTATTTGTGTTCAGCTAACATCGCTGTGTTAGATACATTTAGGTGGTGTTCCACTACTTTGGACAGTGTCACAATTTCCTGCTGAGTAACATAAATACCGTACCAAGGCAAAAATAGGCTAGCTATCTGTTGTCCTTGTGTAATGGACCTGCTGTTCCTGTGTAGAGAGGGAAGTATCGCTGCAATCTCATTAGCCTCTACTTTACGGATTAAAGGGATTAGGTAGGCTAGATAACAGGTGCCATAAAAAATGTCATAGGGCACACAGCCATACGCTCGGTCCCCACAAACTAAATAAACTCTCTGTGGGAGGGTAATTCTGTCTAATTTTACCCTCACTATGGTATTACAGTCGCTGTGTCCCACATCAGGAGAGGTGTGAGATCCTACTTCATTCTGGAAACAGATGGACACATTCTTCCATTCATGCACCACAATTGGGGGAACATATACTGAACAGTCACGTGTAGGGGGCTTGCCTAAGGGTATTGGCTGCGTACAGTCATGTATTTTAACCTCAACGGAGTCTACTGTTCTAGAGCCAAACCAGGGCACAACTGTTACCAAAGCTTCAACCAACAAAGATGGTGTGTGTGGTTGCAATGTACATGTTGGACTTGTAAAGTTAGCCGAACAATTAGTCTGGGCTAGAGCTAACTGGAATCTGTATTCAAAAGCTAGGTTAACGTATTTCTTCACATATATTAGTTTTAAAAACATCAACCGTTTGAAACCGTCAGGCAGGTAATTTTTATTTACTGTATCAACAATGAGAGAGACTAAGCCCTTGTACTGTAAAGGTTGCTCAGAGTCTATGGGGTAGGAAGGAGTGTAACAATCCTCAGCCTCATCGCTAATTCTGGATGCTATGTCATTCCAGCTCACTAGACCGTAGTCATCTTTCGTGAAAGGAATTGGGCTAAACATGGGAGAATGCATGGATTCTGGCATATTTTGGCACAGCCAACAGTTGCTAACATTGCGTTCATGCGCGTAGTCTAACATTAAACTTACTGCAGAATTAGTTTTAGTTCGTTTAAAAGGAGTGATTAAGGCATTTTTTGAAGAATCTACATCACCTCCTGATTGTTTAAGTGGAGTGGATAGAAAATCAGTTTTGCTATCTGGTCCAGTAAATGTGCATGCAGTGACACCTGAATTGGGAGCCTTGTAATCTGGTTTCCTCGTTGTACATTTTACCTCATTCCTTATCAGTGTCTTTAACTGTTCTATAGTGCTACACCACAGTTCTGGGGGCATTTCTTCAATGGTGTTGAGAGCCATTCTTACCACCTCTGATGAGACCCCAAACCGCTGGTACTGGTTCTTTGGATACGTCACCCACGTCGGGTAACTGTCACCGCTGATTGAAGGCAGTAGCACAGGAAACACAATAACACAGTTGGATGAGTCACTAGGGGTGTAACGGTACACGTACCCGTACCGAAATTATTCGGTACGGGCCCTTCGGTTCGGTACACGTGTGTACCGAAGTGTACCGAACGAATATAACGTTAAACGTAAAAAAATTGAGAACGTGAACAACTTCTTGGAAGTAATCTCAGGTGCTGCGTCGCAGCATTCAGAAAAATTTGCTCACATTGGGTTCAACGCGTCATAGAGCGAGCAAGTCATTTCATTGGACGAGAGGCATACTATGAGAGCTGGTCAGAGGGATGCGTTCAAATTTAGTCAGTAATTTGAGGAACTTTCGAAAATTAATGGCGAACGCAGATAAAGTTGAGCTCGAAAATCCTCCAGCATCATTGAAGTCTCCGGTTTGGGAACATTTTGGTTTCGCAGTTACGTTCAAGGATGACGGACAAAGACAGGTGGACCGAACCAAAGCTGTTTGTCGGCATTGTTCAACTAAAATTGGTTACGTGGCTGGCAATACATCAAACTTGCACTCTTGAA